GCTGCTTTGCCACCATCCCTCTCGGGATGTAGTAGCAACACCCACACTTGGACATCAGCGTTTTGCTAGAGATTTAACTCACTGTCCTTGGAGAAGAGTTGATTTGTTTGAAGAATTACTGGGGATAAATACCAAGTATTCTGCCTCTTACTAAGGTTGGGGACCCTGGGAGAAGGTCCTCCTGGAGCAGGTGTCTAAACTACAGAACTTAGTTACTCCCCTTCCTTTTGATTCCATTTCTCACCCCTGTTTCCATAGTAGGTGGGACTCCTCTGAGGTCCCAGTGGGTAGAGGAGTCCATAGACCTGCATCACATGCAGAATGTTCTAGATCCAGGTCTCCTCTATTGTCTTTCCTACTAACAAACGTGTGTTCGTCTACCCATTCTCCTCCATAAATCTGTTGTAATATTTTATGTGCAGATGGCTCTTCTCCATTTCTCTTGATAATAAGTTTATTCTTTTTTGTAGTTTTAGAGTTTTATTTCAGTGGGGTTTCTTTAGAGAGGCGAGGGAATGAATGTGCTTAGTCTGCCACTTAAAATTAAATTCCATATCTTTCTTTTTAAAGCAAACATGTCAATATTTCTCTCAGATTGAATAAGCAACACATGTTCATTCTATAAAAATTGAAAATACATAGAGAGATGTAGCAGGAATTGAAAGGCATCCATAATCCCCATTTGCAGATCTGCACCCCCAGCTGAGAGTCCCTTTGGGTTTTGGCCTGGGCAACTTGACAAAATGATCCCAAAGTTACCTTGGGAGACATGGAACAGGCAATTCTTATTTATTTATTTATTTATTTATTTATTATTAATTAATTAATTTATTTTCATTTCATTTTCTTCCATACATTCAATCACATTATTATTTGTCTTACAAAATGGATATTTCAACAGGTGAACACCTCTTCCCAGCACTGTCGATAAAACCACCAAGATCTTCAACAGATAATACCACACACCCAGGGAACAGGCATTTCTAGCTAAGGGAATTTCAGTAAAGAATAGCGATCCCTTCATATTAGTTTGCGAGGGCTGTTATCACACAGTACCACAGAATGAGTGACTTGAATGACAGAAATATATTTTCTCATGATTCTGGAGGCTGGAAGTCCGAAGTGCAGTGTTGGCAGGTTTGGGTTCTCCTTAGGCCTTTCTGCTTGGCTGGTACTTAGCCGCCTTCTCTCTGTATCCTCACATGGTCTTCCCTCTGAGTATTTGTCCTGATTTCTTCCTCTTATGAGATGTCAGTCATGTTGCATTGGGAGCTACCTAGTGACCCAATTTTAACTCAATTACCTCTTTAAAGGCCCTACCCCTAAATATATATTCTGAAGTACCAGGAGTTAAGATTCTAATTTTTTCTTTTTTGGGGGAGGGGAATACAATTCAGTCCACAACATGGTTGTGTGGTAAACTATATTGTAAATTCACACTAATTTAAGCTACAAGGTGTTGGTAGGAGTCTAGCCATAGAACAAAGGAATGAGTATATAGTTCACAACTAGACGCTGCAAATATTGAGACTTAAAAGATAATCAGACAGAAAGCATCAGATATCAATGGGAGAGGAATAAATTCTACAACGTAGTTTGGAGGTAGTGGCTCGCTATTTGGAAAAACAATCTGTAGATCAAAGCTGAAGCACACACCAGAAATGAATGAAAAGGAGTGGAAGTGAGTGTTAGGGAATTGAAGACTAGCAGAGACCATGTGTTCACCCTGATGCAAAGTTGTTCAAATTCAATTAAAATAAACCCTCACTGTGATGTTGAATAAAACCCTTCTGCTGGCTGAGTTCAGTGCATACTAGTTTTCAACTTTTATCAAATTCTCACTTCATATTATAACCAAAAGAAATTTTGGATGGATCTGAGAATTAAAGAATATAGACATTGCACTCCTGTGTACACACACCCATCCACAGAGCCCCAGGTGAGAGTGCAGATGAGTGTGTATTTGATCGTGGGATATTAGGGAGGACTTTCTCAGCATAAAAGCAGTGGTGGAGAACATAAAAGAAAAGATCAGTTCTCTTTGTTACGTTTAAATCTCAGGCATGTGCCTTTGATTGTCTGAGTAGACCCTTGGTATCCGCAGAATATAATTTAAAGTTCTCTTCTGCTTAACTCTTTTTAAGACTTGATGGGTTTGTGAAGAAAGCACATTGCTGAAGAGTGTGGAAGGTGAGATTTTCCAGTATCATCTTGTAGGTTTTAATTTGTCTGTCAATCCAGACGATCCAAAAGTTGACAGCTGCCTTGACCCATGCCGCTTTGTCCTCTGCAGAATTCCTTTCGTGTGATTGTCCTTTGTTGTGTGGCCTGCCTTGCATGGAGGACCACCACAGAAAGCATCCCGATAAACTCACAATGTATGTTAGGAATGCTGCTGTGTTCCTTGGGGGCCCAGAGGGAGCACCCAGCAGAGAAATTGTTCTTTTTTTTTTTTTTTTTTGGAGAGATTTTCACTGTAGGGCGCGTGCGCTCGCCAGACAGACAGAGAGAGACATAGAGACAGAAAGCGAGAAATCACCCCCCAGGGGGGATGGTCATGCCGCAATCCCTTCTCCTCCATTCTCCTCTTGGGATCTTGGGCACGCACGCACACGCGCCCGGAGAGAAATTGTTCTTAAAGCTCAGAGGCTTGCTTCTTGCTTTCGTCGGATGGATGATGTCCAATCAGTGACTTAATCTTGTGCTTAGAGAGCTGGGCAATTCAAAGCTACACTTTCAGTTTTTTTCAGTCATTTCTTAAGGTTTTTAGAAAAATTATTATTATTTAATCGCCAGAGGGTGCATGCACCTGCTGGAGGGTGGGGAAAAAGGGAGAAAACACATCCCACTGGGGCTGCAATCCCTTCTCCTCCATTTCTCCATCCTGTTAGGATTTTGGCATGTTTTTAAAGCTTCCAGGGCCAGGATTTTTGAACCGTAATCTGTCATGTAGGCTTAACTTAGACTACAGGGCCAGCTGCATTGCTCAAGATCTTATGATGCAGAATTTGCTTGTTGAACTTTCCCGTGGTAGTAGAATAAGTAGTAAATAGTACAAACTCTGCCTGGAGCTACAGTGCTTGGGTCAAATTGCACCTCTGCCACAAACAAGCTGTGGGGTCATGGCAAGTCACTTAACTAACTCCTTATCTATGAATAAAGATGATAACCAAAACCTCACAATCAAAAGATTGTCAAGATAAAGAGTTATAACCTATGAAATTCTTAGAGTAGTGCTTTGTAAATAAGAATGATATAAATGATGGTAATGATTTTAATACCTGTAAAATGCTTAAAATAGTACTTGGTAGATCATTTGGTATGCTATAATGATACACAGTGATTGAATTTAAAATAAATAAATAATAATTATATGAATAATAATGATGATGATCCCTTTCTTTTCCCCTTTGCCCTTATTTTTCTGTATTTTATCTTTTTTATCACTAATTTATAAAGTAACTGCTAATCCTCGATGGACTTGCTGTAAATAATTGAAGACTTAAGGCTGACTCTCCTTGACCTGACTATCCACTTTTTTGAGGATATGCAAAATACGCATTGTGTACCCAGTAGTGCCCTTGGACTTTCAGAGTGGTGGTTCTTCCTACCACTTGTACTGGGTTGTTGGGAAAGCCATGACTTTCTCAACAACCTAATAGTACGTCTGCTCCCAAATGATTATTTTTACAAATTTAAATAATGTAGGGGACATAATAAAAACTAGGCCTCACCTAAGGCCATTTGGATCAATGGGGGAGGGTCAGGGTCTGGGTATACCACTGTGCAGAGTTAAGAGTTCCTGTCTTAGAAAATACAGGTAGTTGATGACGTGGCACCTTGTCTGAAAGGAGCTTACCTTTGTGGGGGGATAAAATAGGGGCCTACCCACTGACTGCGCTCTATGGTAGAGACTGAAAGACTGGAGAACATAAAAGTATTAAAAATTGTAATGGGCACTAGAGACAAAGTGAAAAGAGAGTGTGGGAGGGGAAGAGCATAGGAAAGGAAATTTGGGGGGAAAATGGAGAGGTAAGACACTTGTAGGACACAAATAAGGTTTATTATCTGTTGACGAGGATGTGGACTGAGGTGTAAATCATGCTGGGTAAAGTTTCTTCACAATCTAAACGATGTATAGTGATTTAATGTACGAATAGTCATAATAAAATAATGAAACCAAAGCCAAAACAAAAACCAAAATTAGGGGTCTACCTGCCTACAGTCCCACATTCATATTTTCAGCTGTGTCTTTATCAATTTCTCCTTTACCTTAACTCAAATATCCAAACCAAGTTCTGTGTATCTTCTTCCCTCAGATCTAATGTTATTCTGTATTTTATATTTTGTTGAGAGTTCTACGAACCAGAGTGTCTAGCAGTCTCCCATGATACTTACACCATTCTTCAGACTCTGTAAAGACACACCACTCTGACCCCTGGCTCCTTCTCTCAGAACTTTGCCGTTGCAGTTTTACCTCACGTATCCCTCTGGGGTCTTCGCACATCCCTCGGAACCAGAGGGAAGTACAGGACACCCTGACGTTCTGGGCGTTAGAACCCTTCCTTCCCCTGCTGTCTCAATGTGAAGCCTAGAGGGTGGTGGTTGGCAGTTGTAGAGGGGTGTGACTCAGCCCCTCTGTGTCTCCACCTTCTCCTCTGCTAAATGGGACGTTCAGTTACTTGGTTCTTCCAAACTCACCCTTTTCTTCTATGGTGTGTCCGGTGGGGCTGAAACACTGCAGATCCATTCCTCCTGGCCAGGTGCTCCCTCTTAGGCTCTGCCAGCAGGGAGCGATAGGAGAGACCATAAGCTCAAATCTGGGGTAGGAAGGAGCTCCTTCAGCTCTCTGGCTGCTTCCGGTCTGCTCCCTATCACTTCCTGTCTGCTCCCTATCACTTCCTGTTCTCTCCTGTCTGCTCCCCATTCACTGCCTATCTGCTCCCTAGTCACTTCCTGTTCTCTAGTGTCGGCTTCTCGTGGGCTCCCCATTCACTTCCTGTTCTCTCCATCTGCTCCCTCTTCACTTCCTGTTCTCTCCATCTGCTCCCTCTTCACTTCCTGTTCTCTCCATCTGCTCCCTCTTCACTTCCTGTTCTCTCCATCTGCTCCCTCTTCACTTCCTGTTCTCTCCATCTGCTCCCTCTTCACTTCCTGTTCTCTCCATCTGCTCCCTCTTCACTTCCTGTTCTCTCCATCTGCTCCCTCTTCACTTCCTGTTCTCTCCATCTGCTCCCTCTTCACTTCCTGTTCTCTCCATCTGCTCCCTCTTCACTTCCTGTTCTCTCCATCTGCTCCCTCTTCACTTCCTGTTCTCTCCATCTGCTCCCTCTTCACTTCCTGTTCTCTCCATCTGCTCCCTCTTCACTTCCTGTTCTCTCTGTCGGCTCCCCATTCACTTCCTATCTGCTCCCTAATCATTTCCTGTTCTCTCCCTCTGCTCCCCATTCACTTCCTGTTCTCTCCATTTGCTCCCCCTTCACTTCCTGTTCTCTCTGTCTGCTCCCCATCCACTTCCTGTTGTCTCCGTCTGCTCCCCATTCACTTCCTGTTCTCTCTGTTGGCTCCCCCTTCACTTCCTATTCTCCCCATCTGCTCCCCATTCACTTCCTGTTCTCTCCAGCTGCTCCCCATTCACTTCCTGTTCTCTCCAGCTGCTCCCCATTCACTTCCTATCTGCTCCATAGTCACTTCTTGTCTGCTCCCTGTCTGCTTCCTGCTTGCTGTTCCTCTGCTTCCTCTGTACTTAGCTACTTTCTGGTCCTGTGAGCCCAAAGATGACCACTGGCCTCATGGCCTCCTGTCTGTGTGCCCTCTCCTTTATCAGACCACGGTGTGTTTCATCTGTCCCTACTTCTATATTGGCGGTTTTTGAATTTGATAGTTAAGTGTTTGCTACTTTAAAAACTTTTTTTTTTTTTTTAGTTTTTTTTTTTTGTCATAGGTTGTGTGTGCTTGCTGGAGAGAGACAGAGACAAAGTAAGACAGAGGGGAAGTAAGAAATCAACTGTCAGGAGTAATGACCACTCTGCAATCCCTTCTCCTCTAGTCTTAGGATTTTCAAACTGCCAAGTGCAGGACTTGAACCACGGTTGGCCATGTGGGAATCCAGCATCTTAACCACCATACCACCTGCTGACCCTCTTTTTGGTTTTATAGCAAATAACTCATGCTCCAAATGCTGAGGTGTGGAAGAGTCTGTTCTTCAGAGTACAGTGAAGACATAGAACTGGGAGTAGGCCCAAATGGAATGAGAATTTACAGTACAGTCCCACCCCAGTTGTTAACGGTTGTTAATGAATGACCGCATGCAATCAGCCTCTTTTGTCCAAGAGTATTCGGTCCAAACTGTTGCATTACCTACTCCTCTGGGACCTGTAGGTAGTAATTTTTTTCTATTTATGTATACTGTAAATACCACTGGCTATTTTGTCAGCAGGTGGGTCAAGATATTCTGGGTCAGCTGCATCTAATTTCCTGCTCTACCTGGAGATCCATGTTGGTCACAGGTACCTGGGATGGGAGACACAGTCACATGTGACCACATATCGATGACAACCTTGTTGGGTGTACAGGAATTATGTCCACAAGCCCGACGTATGTGTTAAGCTCTAGCTCCCTCAGCTGAACTTCACTGTAGAACTCTAGGCCAGGTGGGCCTTCAGGCTTTCACTGGAACTGGACAGAGTTGGCTGGAACCCTAAGTGTTATCATGCTCACATGCTTAATTTCTCTGTGCCTCAGTTTCATCATCATTCAAGAAGGACTAAGACTAACCATCTTACACCTACTGTGATAATCCAGGCAGATGAATATGTCTTAGTATTGGCCTGTAAATGGCATGTTTCTCTTTTAAGTAATAATTTCTTCCATCTGAGAATTGGAGCTCTCTTCTTGGCAAAGCTGCCAACTTAGTGACCACAGCGATGTGATCTTTGAGAAGGAAATGAAAGAAGTGATAGTGTCGGTCCAGACTGCCTCCTCTGTGGCTCCAGCACCCCGTAGATAGCCCATCCCCATGGCCCCAGCTCTTTGGAGCAGTAGTTCTAGTTCTCACCAGATTATTCCAGCTTCTGAGTTCTGATAACACGGAACCCACACCAAGAGGTGGTAATGGCTTATTGCGGTTTATAATTTCTGGATCACTTTCCATGCCCAGATGTAGTCTCCAATGTCCAATTTGGTTTCTCAGATTTTCCACTGAAGCAAGCCAGCTGCAGAAAACGCAGGGCCTTCTCTCTCAGGCAGGGGCCAGTAGCCACAAGTCTGGTAAATTAGCTTCCAGATAGGACTGGTAATATCAGTGAAAGGATCAATTTGTTTTTGTTATTCAAATTCATCTTATTTCATTCTTTCATGAATGAGAGAAACAGAGGGACAGCACCCCATCAGGATCTTGACACTGTGACCCATACTCAGCCTGAGCCAGCCCAGATCACTGGCACGTGTGTGCCGGGAGTACTCAGGGAGGTCACTGGACCTGAACTGGGCACCTTCCCATGACCTTCCCAGACTCGAAGAATGTATGTGTTACCACTGTGCCTGGCCCTGAACGGACTGATTCTAAGTCTGTGGGTTGTAACTAGTTAATGAGGCATCATTTTGGGGTTTAGGGCCACAGGTCCTACCGGTCCTCACCGAGGCCCATGCCAGGAATATTTTGTGTGCGCCAGGCACAGCACTGACACCCATCCTCCCACTTTGGGTCATAGGGTCCCTGCCAAGATTTCTAGTTGAGTTGCTTTATTCTTGGTTAATCCATTTCTCCCTCCCACCCCCACAACATTCCAGAGCTGTCTTTGGGATTCCTCGGAGCCATCTGCTATTGTTTTGGAGCCAGAGCATCCTTTAGCCACAGCGTCTCTGTCTGCCCACCTTGTGTGCCCTCTGAACCTGAACTCGATTCTCTTCCTGGCTCATGAGGATGGCAGGAATGAAAGGTCCTTTTCAGCTGGGCCTAACTAAACCTTTCTCATCTTATGTTCTCAGGGCCCGTCTTACTCCTCCCAGAGGTGAGAAGCCGTGTAGGAAACAGACGGCATGTGCAGGGCCTCATTGCACATTCCAAACGAGGCCACGCTGTCTACCTGCCACGGAAAAAGAACAGTGCTACCATAGGACATTTGGGGAGGAGGGGGAGAGGGCTAGCTTCTCAGATCACGGTGCACGTCTGAGACACAGCTCCCTGGCTGCACAAAGTACTCCTAAACTCAGATATCATATTTTGTTGCAATCTGGTTTGAGGACAAAATGAGGCCCTGGCAGCTGAAGTTTATGACTTTCCATATAAGCTTTCAGACAAAATTTGTATTGCATTTTGCTTGAGTTACGGTGGGACAGGAGTGTAAACCTCGCGCTGCTCTTTCAGATAAAATGGAGGTTTTGGCTACCATAAAGAAGAGAGAAGCACAGCTTTAAATTTCTTGGAAATCAGTTTTTGAGAGGTGTAAAATGCTCACATACGAGATAAAGAGAAGAATGAGCGAATCCACAATGACGTATATCAAAGTTTGCACTTATTTTAATTTCCTTCTCCACCTCTAGAATAAATCAGAACTTAAACCTTGCCTTGGACTTCCCCTAAATTTCGTGAGAAGGTAAAACCCAAACCTCTCACTTCCAAATCTGGTGGGCGGGTGGCCGCTCATCCCAGGTGAAGGCCGTTTGGCCTGCCATCCTGTTGCCACCTAATTCCTGGGCATGTTCTCCTGGGGTTTACCTTCCTGACAGGGGAAAGGGAAATAAACCCACACAGCAACCCTCTGAAATCCCACCAGGCATGGCACTTCTGCAGTGAGTACAGACTCCCCCTTGCGGTGGTAGTCGCTGGAACTTTCCTCTCCATGAGGCCAGTTCTTCAGAGTCATTCCTCCCTCCTCCATCTTTTGTCTTTTTTTTTTGAGAGATTTTCACTGTAGGGCGCATGTGCTCGCCAGACAGACAGAGAGAGACAGAGAGACAGAAAGCGAGAAATCACCCCCCAGGGGGGATGGCCACGCTGCAATCCCTTCTCCTCCATTCTCCTCTCGGGATCCTGGGCACGCACGCACACGCGCCTGGCGTGAGTTTGAAGCCACCGGGTCCGGGACGTGAACCACGGTCGACTACGTGGGAGTCCAGAGACATAGCCATTACGCTAACTGCTGGTTCCCAACATGGCATGTTTTCTCATGACGTTACACCTTAGTTGAAATGACAGTTCTGATGACAGCGTACTATCGCACATACAGTGTGACTTTACTCATTTGTTTAACCATTTCCCTAACAACGGGTTTTTAACTTGCTTCCCGTGTCGGTGTTATAAATTCTCTTGTGATGAGCATTCTTGCTCACTGTTCTCTCTCACAGCATCTTGATTATTTCTTTAGAACAAATTTCCAGGTGCAGAATATTGGGGTGGGAATTTTTTCTTTTAGAGAGATTTTTGCTGCAGGGTGAGTGCGCTCGCCAGAAACAGAGAAATAGAGGGAAAGTACAAATCTCCCCCCAAGGGGGATGGCCATACTGTAATCCCTTCTCCTTCATTCTCCTCTCAGGATTGTGGGCGTGCATGCACATGCACCTGGTGTGAGTTTCACGTCGCCAGGTCCAGGACTCGAACTGTGGTTGGCCATGTGGGAGTCCGGTGCCTTAACCACTACACCACCCACTGGCCCCTCATAATGCTACATTTTAAACATCACTGTTAGGTATCATTTCTTGCATTGATTAGGAAAATGGGCTCCAGCGGTAAAGGTTTATTTCAGGGCAAGCAAAAAAAAAAAAAAAAAGTCTGCTCTTGGCTGATTTGGTGACCCTGGGTCCTGATAGTTTGTCTTCATGGACAAAGCTTGTTGGAGCATTGCCTTTTGTGTTTTCCCATTTGAAACACACACACACACACACACACACACACACACGTTTATGAAGATGTGCTACACATTTTAATTAACAAAGTAATACATGGTGGTTGTAACAAATTAAAATGAACTAGAAAAATAAATGACAAAAAGCAAAAAATATTTCTCTTTTGGGTTCTAAAAGGCACCCGAACATGTATGTGTACTGTACTTTTACATCTATATGTATAGAATCTTAAAAATGGACCCAAATAGGATCACATAGGACATATTTATAGTTTTTATCCTTAATAACATATCATGGAAATCTCTCCAAGTGTATTCACATTAGCTACACCTTAGTTTTTATATCTGCCTATTAGTCCACTGTAAAAACGGACAGTGTCATCTCCTATTGATCAGCTTTTAGTATGGATTAAAATGATATGCAGTAAGAGTAGCAGGTAAATATTGACTGAACATTTATGTGTGTCAGTATGTTCTAAACACTCCGTCTTTATTAATTCATGAATCCTTACAACAACCCAGTAAGGGAGAATTTGTATTTATATCTTACTTTATCTGAGAATGTCTGAGGCACAGAGAGGTTAAGTAACTTGCTCCAGGTTGCTCAGTTAGGAAATGGTAGACTCAGGATTCAGATTTAAGCACACATGCTCTTTTTACATTTTTAAAAAAGTTAATTTTATTCCATGAGCAAGGGAGAGAGAGAGAGAGAGGAGAGAGTTAGAGGGAGAGGGAGAGAGAGAGGAGAGAGAGAGAGAAAGAGAGGGAGAGGGAGAGGGAGAGAGAGAGGGGAGAGTTAGAGGGAGAGGTAGAGAGAGAGAGAGTTAGAGAGAGTTAGAGGGAGAGGGGGAGAGAGAGGGGAGAGAGAGAGACCTTCACAAGGTATCGACACTCCAAATCACCCCCAGCCTTCAGCCAGCCCTGGGTCATGAGCAAGTGTGTGGTGATCAGGGAGGTCTCAGGGAGGCTTCAGAGGGGAAGCAGGAGCCTTCCCTCGTGGGTCAGTGTTACAGAGCATCACAGAGCCCCACAGCACCACCCTCCAGCCCCCAAGCACTGAGGCTTTTAAGTTTGTCATTCTAAATGGCGCTACAGAGAACATCCTTGCGGATAGAGCTTCATGCATTCTCCCGGGGTTTCGGAAGGAGTGGTTCCTGGGAGCGGGCCTGCAGAGCCAGAGCTCCTCTCTCATTCCAGTGAGAGTGACAGAGATGCTCCATGTCTAAGCAGACAGCGCTCGAGGGAGAGATGGAGACAAGCACACATATGGAAATACTGAAGGAGGAGCATGTCCCGTGCAATGGCACTGCTCGAGCGTGGTCGCTGGGCAGCCCTGCAGCCCTCTCTCTGAGGGGTCGTTAACAGAGACAGCCAGGATCCTCTGAGACTGGAGCTGCTCAGAGTGGGAGGAGGCAGCCTTTTCTCTCCAGGGAGGAACCTGTTCACCCCAGGACCATTGGACAAGTGCTGACTGGGTCCTTTCCCACTCGGCGCTGTCTTTGTGTTTGTTTTTTTGAGATCCTGAGGACTGTACTTTATGTGACTATAGGACTTCCACTGTGACAAGACCCAGGAGAGGAATGGTGTGGCCGTGGGTGGGGCCTGCGTGTGTCGGTTCCAGTTGGTCTCAGAACAAGGCCTCATTTGTTGCTTTCCTTTCCTGTGCAGAGACAGAGAGTCGCGGGATGGCGGATAGCCTGCAGAGGTTCTCCTCGCTCCCTGCCTACCTCCCCACGAGCTTCCACATCTCCAACGCAGAGGAGTCCTTCTTCCTCAAAGAAGCCAACCAGGACCTCACGAGGAACTCCAGTCTGCAGGCCCGGGTGGAGTCCTTCTTCATCTACCGGGCCAGGACGCCCCCTCTGATCAATGCCAGCTATGGCCCGTTTTCCGTGGAGCAGCTCATCCCCCCGGAGCTCCTGGTGACCTCCACACCCTTTGGAACCATGGAGAAGTTCCCCTTCAACTGGAAGTTGAAATCTCACATCCTCGACAGCTCCATCTACTCCAACAGACCCAAAGTGCAGACCTTGTTTTATGTCTCCGGCAGGAGCTGGGAGGACAGCGACCCTTCAGAAGATCTGCCCTGTGTCAAGATGTTTGCCTTCCCCGAGGCCAGGGAGGTGGCGGCTGCCTGTCGGCTGCAGGGGGCCCCGGGGCTGTGTGTGGCCGAGCTGGAGTTGCTGCCTGAGTGGTTCAGCTCTGGCCTGGACCTGGAGCCACAGGAAGAGGTCCCCGCCCTGCTGGGGGGCTCTGCCATGGAGCTCTTCTTCACTCTCCACCCGGCCGATGAGGCTGGCCAGTGTCCTCTGGAGGAAGAGGGCAAATGGGAGAACAACATTCATCCAGACCAGGACAGCCCCCCTCAGGCACTGCCGGCCCGAGAGAGGATTGGGAGCGTGGTGGTCTACCCAACTCAAGACGACCTCAGGTGGTCGCTGGTGAGCCTGGACGAGAACGTGGTCCTCTCGGTGCCTCTGAATCTTGTGCGCGAAGGGGACACAGCCACCTTTTTGGTCTCTCTGACCAGCAGCTCTGTGGCGGGCCACTTCACTCTCAGGTAAGAGGCTATGGCGGGTCGGATGGAGTGGAATGCAGCTCCTAGGACCCATGATTGTCAATGAGCAAAGGGGGTGCTGACCGTTTGCTGAGCATTGTCAGAGATAAACGCAGGTGGGCATCAGCGAAAGCTGTGGAAGCAGATCGTATCCTCACCTTCTGGCAGGAAAGGGACCAGATGGGCTCTCTTCTGATGTGGCAAGAGGTGATCTGGGTGTTTCCGAGAGCGTGAGCGAGGGGAGGGCAGGGTGCAACAGAACCAGAGGACTGCATGCTTCAGAGGCCTCAGTGTCCGTGGCAGTCAGCATGGCTGACTTGTAGCTGGTAGCCCCTCACAGAGACTGGGAGACAGAAGCCCCGTCCTTCCTAACTCTGACGTTTTAGTGGGATGGCCCTGAGTCCCTGAGACAGGTGCCTCTGCGTTGCAGGAGTCACATATGTGTAATTAAAAGTCCTTTTTAATAAATGCTGTGTGACCGCGTCCCATTGGGGAGTGCTTTCTCTTTCTAGCAAGCACACATGCCCTCTGGCTGAAAACAAAAAAATAAGACAACTTTAGAGTTCCAACTTCTAACAACAGGGAGATTTCACGTACCATTTTCTTAGGAAATTTCAAAGATCTGGCCACTTGGCCATGGCTGGCCATGTTAGAAAGCGGCTTCCCCTAAGGTGCGTCATGCACTGTCGCGTTCACCCCAGTCCCCACCACTCCACTTTGCCTCACGCCTGGCACATGTTACCCACGTATGTTGCCCGTGTAGCCCCTGTGGGCATCTGCATTTCGAAGTCAATGTTGGAAAATATTGAATTCAATACAATGTTGAAAAAAAATACAAGTTTGGAAAACAAGAGGGTGTCGTGCTGAAGAGGGGGCGACGTTTTAACCTTTGAAGGCGAGATCGCTCATTCATCACGTGAATTGGGGGGAGAAGTGGCTGGTGGGTGCATCACAGGGAGGGGAACCACCGCCCCACCATCCTCAGCATCGCATCACGGGTGCATTATTACTTCACAGAAAGTACTAGAAGAGTGGCTGGCATGCTGGGTATCCAGTCAAGTGCTCATCGATTCTACTACTGGATTGCTGGAAAGGTCCCGTTGTGTTTTTTTCATGTTTCTCTATGCAAAAATGCATCATGACTTTTCTTTTTTTTGGGGAGAGGTTTTCGCTGTAAGGGCTCGTGCGCTCACCAGACAGACAGAGAGAGACAGAGAGACAGAAAGCGAGAAATCACCCCCCGGGGGGGATGGTTACACTGCAATCCCTTCTTCTCCATTCTCCTCTCGAGATCTTGGGCACGCACGCACACGCGCCTGTCTGGGACTACGTGGGAGTCCAGCGACCCAGCCATTACGCTAACTGCTGGTTCCCACGTCACGACTTTTCTAATGACCCAATACTTACTGTTAGGTCAACGGGAAAGTCATGGTACTTTTCTTTCTCTATGCAAAAATGTGTCACGACTTTCCAGACGACCTAGTGTACTCAGGGTTACTTTGCGCTAATTGCTACTCTTCATTTACACGTTTTAAATATTGTGCGTCCTGCGTTAACCCTCTCCGTGCATCCTCTCCTCGTATGCTCAGAGCTACTGTTCAAGGCGTGTTGTTTGTGTCCGTGTTGTGGATGTGGAAACAGGGCATCTCCGTTTGGCTGTCTCTGCTTGTCCTGAGATGGAAGTAGAGGCGAGTGGCAGGGTCGCTGGGTGTCCCTGACTGAGTCCTGCCCTGTGGGCTGGTTACTGCAGGGGCCGCAGCTCGACTTCCTGGACCGGCTGCTGCAGGTGTGGCCAGAGTTCTGTGCTGGACGGTCTGGTGCTGTCCACTTGATTATTCATTCTCTTGAAATAAAATACTTACTGCACTAGGAGGGAAACGTGTTACTTCTCCGCACAGCCGAGTGTCTGTTCTAATCATGCCTTTCGTGAATGAAATGTGACATAGTTCATCCCGGCTCAGAGGAGGCCCAGATCAAGGCGTGAACATGGGCCAGATTTGTCGAGATCTAATTTCAGAGCGGGAGCCATGTGGGAAGGGGACAGATGTGTGTCATTTTCACTTGTCACTTCGCTGTTTCAAGACTGCGTTTCATAGAGGGGCCAGTTTGAACAAAAGTTGCATTGGTTATTCTTTAATGCCAAACGGATTCTGTGAAACCTTAGCCCCTGAACTGTTCGCCGTGCCTCGAAAAGCCACGGCGCGTGGTTCAGAGGGCTTGGGGGTTGGTGGCAGGACAATGCTGGGCTGGGATCAAGACAGGTCTTTGTGACACTTCCAGGGAAGTCTGAAGTCTGAAGTTTCTCCCTTCCATGAAACGTCGCTGAGGCTGAGTGAGATCCTGGGAAACTTTATCCAGGTTTGTTAAGACAGCTTTTTCTCAGCTTACACAGAGAATCTTCTGGGCTGATCTTCCCCTACAAGGCAGTGGAGCCCAGTGGTTAAGAATGTGGACTGAACCCAGATCGCCTGGCTTTGATCCCTCTGCTTCAGACCAGCTGTGTGACCTTAACAAGTTATCTAGCCTCTCTGTGCCAGCTCCCTCCTCTGTAAATGGGGATACTTTGTGCTTTAAGGGACTATTTAGGAAGAGTCGACTTCGTGGTCAGCTAAACCGCCCTCCGGCTGCTCAGGCCAAACACCTAACTATGATTGGTTCCTTCCCTTCTCTGATGGCCTGCCTCTGCACTACCTGCAAACCCCGGGCTCTTCCTTTGCAATATCCAGACTCTAACAACCTCTGCTGCTTTGAGCCAGTCCACGCTCGCATCCTCTCTTGGTGGGTGCCTGCAGGAGCCCCCTGACAGGCCTCCTCACCTCCACTTTTGCCCTCTACAGTTTGCCCTTGAGTAAATACCAGGGTCCTCACATTGGCCTGCTAGGCCCTGCCTGACGACCCTCCTTTTGGCTCCCTCCACAGCCACCAGGTCGGGCTCCAAGTACACTCTCATATGGACGTGTCCTCGCTCTGGTCCTCGCGGTCCTGCTGGAACGAGTCCCTTCAAGCCGTGTTACAGATGAGCAGGCAGAGCCCGTGCCTCGCTGTCCTGGACATTCTCTTGCCTCGTCATGCCTGTGGACCCAGTGGAGGGTCCCGTGCACCTGCAGTAGCAGCGCCTGCTCCCAGGCGTGAGGTGTGTACAGCGCTTGTCTGCCAGTGGCCGGTGCATAACCTTGCCTGACCGGGGCAACCAGCCTCCAGACCCTACTTCTCTTTGCCTGCTCAGGCCAGCCCCGTCCCTGGGCGCATCTCCCTGATCAATGCTGCCCCTCACGTCCGTGACGCCGAGCTCCCACCCCTCCACATGTTCTCCTGCTCGTGTGTTCTTCCCTTGGCAGTCTGCCCCAGTGATTTACTCTACATGACCTGGAATATTGGTTAAAGAGAAAAAAGAAACCGCAAGAATTTTATATGTCCTGGATACTGTATTTTGTATTATGATAAAAAATAATGAGAGCTGTGATAATATGAACTCTACCCTGGTAACCCGTCTGAGGGCAGGCAGCGTTGTGGCCGCATGCTCTTTCTTGTACGGCAGGTCTCTAGAGCTCATTCATCTTGCGAGACTGAAACCCTCTCCTACCGCGTAATGGACCCACGTCTCCCTCACCCAGCCTCCAGCAGCTACCATTCTGCTCCCTGCTTCTGGGAATTTGACTGAAGAAGTCTAACTCATTTGAGGGGAGGCATGCAGTGTTTGTCCTTCTCTGATGGGCTTATCTGCCAATGATTTTTTTCTTTAAAAGTTTCTTCTTCTATATTTTCTTATTTACATTTAATTGTTATAAATCTTTATGCATACCATATGGTCCTTCAGTGCAATGCATGCAGCATGTGGTAACCAAATCAAAGATGTACTATATACATCGTTTTCAACAAAGAACCTCACGTTCTTGTAGCTGTTAAATGTTTCACTGAGCTCCTCCCACTCACCCTCCGCATTTTACCCCCCTCCCATATAGTCTCTGGTGTCTACATTTGTCTCCCTACTGTTATGTCTTTGAAACCTTTCCATTCCTGCCGTAGAGTCGAGTCAGATGGTATATATTGAGTGGGGACGTGCAGCATCTGTCTTTCATAGAATGGCTTATTTCATTTAGGACGAAATCTTCTGGATTCATCTACTTTGTATCAAATGACAGAGTCTGGTTGTATTTCACAGCTGAGGAATGTTTCATTGTATACATGTGTCACAGGGTTTTTAATCCAGTCATCAGTTGGGTGTTTAGGTTGATTCTATATCTTAGCAATTGTGAATAATGCTGCAATAAGCATGGATGTACAATTATTTTTCTCAGTGTTTTTCTGTCCTTTGGGTAAATGCTAAAGAGTAGGATTAGTGCATCATATAGGAGTTCTATTTATAAGTTTTGGGGACCCTCTGTGTAGTTTTTCACAGTGGCTGTACTAATCAACATTCCCACCAGCAGTACAGGAGAGCTCTTTTTCATTATAGCCTTGCCAGCACTTGTGATTCTTAGATTTTTTGATTGTGGTCAGTCTGACTGGGGTTGAACGATATCTCATCTGATTTTGATTTGCATTTCCCTTATGATGAGAGAAAATTTTCTGAACATTTTTTAAAATGCTTTTTGGCCATCATAGGTCTTCCTCTGAAAGTCATCTGTTCAGCTCATTTGCCCATTTTTTAATTGGATTGTTAGTTTTCTGTGGCTAAGTTGCTTGCCTTTTCTATATAGTCTGGTTATCTAACACTTATCTGAGGCATAGTTTGCAAATATTTTCTACCATTATGTAGGTTGTTTCTCCACTCTATTTTCAATCTATCCTCCAGTCCTCCAGTCTGTTAGATCTTGGGTACAGGTGTATATACCCAGTATGTTTCAGGTTGTTTGGGCTGGGGATCTGAATCATAGTTGCCACTTGGGATCTAGTTTCTCTTGAGCAGTGCATTACCACTATACCTCAGAGCTGACCCCTTGACATTTTGCCCCAAAGTGGTGCTATAAATGCCACTGTTGATTTTATTTTCTGTTTTTCTT